CCCCAAAACCCCAAAACCCCAAAACCCCTTCTTAGTAATCAATTGTTGATAAATAATAAGAAATGGCTTTGAAATCACTGACTGCGAAGTAAGGATTGGCTCCAAACCTATAGCTCATCGGCTACTTCTTTGACCAATTTCAGAGGTATTTAGATGCTTATTCTTGTGTAGATAGTGAACAGCAAGCGAAGCTAGCAAGGGATCTGAGGGTTTATAGGACTCAAGATGGACTGGTAAGGGGGTTATGGGGAATAAGTTGGAGAGGGGGAATTATGGGTGAGAGCTGGGATGAGCTGAAAGGAGTTGGAGGAGGAATAAGGGGAAGGAAGGTTTAGGAGAGGATTAGAGGCTATTAGAGTTGATATTTAATGAGTCTGGGGTATGTTAGAAGTTTTTTGTATGTTTATTTTGAGAGACTTTGTTTAATCAAAGTTTTATATTTAGTCAAATTTTATCTGGATAGCTGTAATATGATTTGATATTTTATAAAGTTTTAAAACCTTTTATTAATTTTATACAACTTTCTTAATTTCCTTTCTTCTTGTCTAATTTTTAAAAAGAAAAAGTTTAAAGACCTGCCATCAAAATGAAAGAGATGATTAAATTCAAAGAAACCCATGTATAATTATGAAGAGATTGAGCAGGAGTATGGGGTGGGTAGGGGTGAGTGGAGGAATAGTTGTGAGAAAAGGGTTGCAGAGGAGTAAGTGAAGGAGTGGAGGATGAGGTTGTGATGGGTTTAGGTTATGGAAATAGTAGGCATAGAAGAGTACTCAAGCCGGCAAGAAAGATGTCGAGGCCGAAATTTATGAGTATTTGAAAAATTAGAAGGTATGGTTGTGAGATAATTCTTTTAGAAGAAATATTCCAGAAGCAAGTGGGGGTTCACTAAAGAGTCACAACTCTGTTGTTTCCTTAAAATTTGCTGAACAAAAGCCTTCTTGGTTGACAAAGAGACCTTTTCGATGTGGGAGTTTGAAGCATCCTTGCTCTAAAGTACATCATAAGTTTAACTCAATCTAGGGCATCTTAAGAGATCCGTATATATGTCTAAAACAGGACAAGAATCGTTTAAGCATTCTAAATAATTTCAAAGTCATAAACAAACTTCTCCGTAACGGATTTATTAAAGCTGCGAATGCAAGGAAAGATATAAAGAACAACTTAATATCTCTGGAAGAATACAAATCAAACATAACTGAAATGGACAAAGTTACAAAATTGTTAAACTATATGAAGCAATTAACTTGCACCAGGAATATAAAGATCATCAAATCCCCACCTGCTTAAATCTGGGTTAAATAATTTCAACATAAACACTCATTAAAGGGGTTTTGGGGTTTTGGGGTTTTGGGG